TTTTCATCCGGGCGGGACCGGGGGGGGGGAGGAGGGGGAGATTTCGTTATCGTTAGGTCGTTGCGATGCCATAAAGTGATGGTAAAATTATGTTATCCGCTCTCTCATGTCTCGCATGCGAGACCGCCCTGAGTGCTTTTGCGCGCGCTTTGCTCTCGGAATATTCGCGCGTGTTCATTTACGCGAATACCTCGGCGGGATTCCTCGATTATTATTGCCGAGTATGCGGAACGATACGGAAAAAAGGGTACTAACCGCACGGCCGGTGGCGGTGAGTTGCGTCCTGTGTTTATCGTAAACGCTGAGAACAGAATTATCCGAGGGATTTTGTTTTCAAGTTCCTTCGCTACGATGTCGGGAATATGCCAGGCCGCAGAATGGCCCTGACGGGCGAGGCGAGGCTGGGAAAAGTTACTTTCTATTTTTAACCGAGTGAAGTTCCAAGTTACTCAATCAAAAACTAATCACTCGCCCGCAACCTTGTTTTAAGACGTAAGCAGTAAGCAAATTGACCAGCCACGGTCGTTTATTGGAAGAACAATCGATCGTGATTTGCTTACTGCTCACGTCTTAAAGCAAGGTTGTGGATCAGTTAAAATTAAATTAACTTATTAAAGTTAAAGGTTAATTATGCAAAACTGTATATATTAGGGGGACCGGAAAGTAATGTCGTTTCTGCGCATGTCGATATTTGATTTGATTGATTTTTACCGCTCCGGCATTGAAAATTTGTATACTAGATGGCAAAAGGTTGTTGATAACGAAGATGAATATATTGTTGATTAGAAATAAAAACTTGTTAAAAATGTAGTCGTGTGAATTTAACTTAAGAAAGCGACATTACTTTCCGGTCCCCCTAATATATATATATTTTAGTGTACATTGAGGTTATTATAATCCTATGCGGACGCCAATAATCGCGACGTGCGGATACGACCTGCCGGTTGCGTTACGCCGTGCGAGTTGCGAAATGAAGAATTCCCACGATGATGAGACCGAATTCGTTCGGCAGTAAACCTATCCGGAATATCGAAGCCGTCGTGATTATATCGCCACTATATTTAGACATCGACTCATCGAGGATTGATTTGATGAAAGATACCTGCGCGGTACCTTCGCAAGAGCGCATAGCGCGCACCAATGTCAGCGGCGAGAGGTCGTGGGTGAAAAAAATTCCAGCCGTCCGCTTTCCCTCATCTCTCTCGCCGACCGAGCGGGATGAACGCGATTAAGAAAGTCCACCGCCGCGTTTTCTCCGCGCTCACTAATGTGATAGCGATGAGAAAACGTTCCGATTGATCTCTCGCCATCGCGATGAGCCCGCGGCTGATGAACGATGGCAATTCCATTATGATTAAGTCGCGTCGTTCATCACGCCAGATTGACGAACGTTTAATCAGTATAGACGTTCATTTACTCGTCCGATCATTCGTTACTACTTCTTGGGTGGTCCGCGAGAATGGGAGATCGAGTACGCGGGTCGGACGTTTGTTTTACACTTCTGCAAACCTAATTGACTGATTTCTCGATGTCTCGCCAAATATTTTGCCGTCAGATATCATTTGTGTGAAGCTGCGAATTACTTTCGTATGAAAATAACAGTAATAACATTTAAATGGCTGTAGTTGTAACTATTCCCTTCAATGCGTCTGGTTGTGCGAATTATTTTTTACAGTTTTGAAGTTCCGGAAAGGAATCGTTTTTTTCCTCAATTTTTCCGCGGGCTTTTTCGTTTCTCATCTTCTTTACCGAAAGTCAATGTGGTTGTGATTCTGTTTAGACTTCACGGTTCTTACGAGGCGCTTAAGTACGGCACATTATTGGACGGCTTGTCTGATCTCACGGGCGGCATCACCGAAAGCATCGCGATTCGCCAGGACCCAACAGCGTGCGGACGCGCGCTTTCGAAACTTCTGGACATGACGTCCCTCATCACTTGTACAGTAAACAACAATCAGCAGCAACAGGTAGACCCGCGGTCTCCCACAGATATGGAATTTCACCGTTTCTTTCAGCTATCTCACGTTCACGCGCCTGTTTCTTTTTCCTAGATACGTGCCAGCACAGAGAAGCTCGCCAATGGCATACAAATGGGAATCAATTACAGGCTGTACGCGATCGAGAGGGTCAGTAGTATCGACATATATCGACAAGTGTCGCACCCGGCTTGTTATTCGCACTTCCAGTTTCTCGTTTCCGGGTCGGGTGTCCTTGATGCCGAATTCATAGTGTGTTAAAATATTTGTGGCTTGAAATCATAATATTCGCCAGTAATAATAATAATAATAATAACAGCGTGACATAACTTGAGGTAATAATCGGAGAAAATAATAATCGGTAAAATAAATGAAAGTAGTGAAATGTGTTGAAATAATTGTAAAATTGCGCGTGCGAAACAACGAGAATAACGCGACGGAAGGATAATATCCGAATTGATCCTGGCACCGCAGGTGGAAACTTTCGACGGGGAAGCGGTGCAATTAGTGAAATTGAGGAACCCTCTCGGGCCTGGTGGCGAATATGTGGGTGCTTGGGCGAGAGGCGGCCTCGAGTGGGAAGAAGTGCCCGCGATGGAGAGGGAACGGTTAGCTGTGAGGAACATGGCCGAGGGAGAATTTTGGTGAGCTTGTGAAAAATCATATTGTATAATCCGATTACTTAATTAATCGGTCGTATAATTTGATCTCTTCCGAGATATATGACGCATTGATTAAAGGAGAAGAAAAAATGACAAGTCGCGAAAACTCGGAATTGAGTATCGTCGAGATAGATTCGGTGACTAATATAGTGAGTCAGATCGCGATCCACTGAGCGTGTAAACTGTCGTCGGAAGTTCGTCATCGCGAAACGTTTTGATTGCAACCGCTGTTGTTGCGGTTTCCACAGGATATCGTATTCCGATTTCGTTAAGACGTTTACCCATCTGGAAGTTGTGCACCTAGACGCCGAAACTTCGAGAGATGAGCCGTCGTTGCACAGTAAACACACTTGGCAGATGAAATTGTATCAGGGAAGTTGGAGAAGGGGCGTCACCGCGGGAGGATGTCGAAATAATCAAGGTTCGATTATCGCCTATACATCGCCCCGAGTCGAAATTTCCGTTCTAATAGTCTATTAAGTCTTCGAAGGTTTCGCATTGTACTCCCTTTGATGTTACAAATGGGAAAATATTTCCATTTACTCTGCCTGAAGACTTAATGTGGAATTTAAAATTTCCCTTCGGGAGGTCTAAATTCCCTTTGTAGCGTCAACTATTAATGCTTCTTTAGTGCTACAAATGGGAGGTTACTTTCTCCGCTTGAAGACTTAATGCAGGACGAAAATTTCGACTCGGAGCCGCAGGAGATTTTTTACGCCTCGTCATTAATATTACAGTTAAATTATTTTCATTCGCGGAGAAATGATTGAAAAAAATTCGTCGCGAGCGATCTCGATTTCGAGAGCTTTAGTTACTTCCAATATCAGCTGAGCCAAATTGAATCGAGTTACCTGGGATATACGGACGATGTGCAACAACTGCATTCTTCTTCGCAGAAACCTTCCACATAAACCCACAGTTGCATCTGATTCTCAGCGAGATGGAAGAAGTGATCGTGTCGTTGAATCAGCATTCCATTATGGAGCCGAAAGTAAGAAGAATCGTTTGTTCAGTCGAGTCGCTGGCGCGCGCGTGCGACGTGTCACTTATCTCGTTGGCACTAATCGCACCTAATCGTGCTTTTCCTTCTTTCAGGTGATAGGTTTCACCGCGTATACATTGCCGAAGAACAGCACCGAGTCGATAAACAAGCAGTTCTTCAAGAAAAACAAGTCCCTGGTCAATTCACAATACACGAATAGCCGGCAGGTGAGCCACAGGTGTCAGCTCGAGCAGGGTGGTTACCTGCTCGTACCTACGACCTTCGAGCCGACTCAAGAAACGAGTTTCACGTTACGGGTCTACAGCAGTAAGCCTCTAAAACTCAAGTAGGTATACGTATATACGCATTTACCGATGTCACATACGAGCGATGCACAAAGGATCGTGCGGCCGCCGCGTTTAATGCCATGCGGCATACGCGTTAACTCACGCGACGGTGGGATTATACGACTCGCCCGCCTTCAACTGCACTTTTAACATCTTCCTCCGGCCATATTTCATCGGGACGCACCGAGTAATTGCGTCCTAAACCATACGCCCTTTCGTCGTCGGCACAATATATCGGGAGTTTTATCGCGGCTATAGCGATTCGCTGCCTTTGTTCAAAGCTGCACGCGACTGATTCGCGACTGACATACGCAATCGCTTTATTCCCCCGTTATTAAGTGTCTCCTTTGCGATTCAAGATGCGTGAAGTCGTTAATGAGAAGGATCGTGAGGGTCGCTGAATGTCGAGTAGAATTCGTAGCGGGAAAATCAAATCGCTCGGCGGGATAACGCCGGATTTTCTTTCCTAGATTTTCAGCGCACATCCCCCGGCCCCTCTTTTTTATTCATTTAATTATCACATCCTACGTTATCAAATCCTCTGTTATTTAAATCACACGTTGTCGAGTCGTACGTTATTCCAATTCAATTCCGCCCCTCCACGTTATCCTACGTTATTTAATTCCGAACGAGGATTTTCACTTTGCGGGAGAAAATGACGAGAGGATGTACGTTTGTCCATCGGCGTTTCAGGTTGCTGGACACTGCGCCGTCGTTAATGAAATCGGCAATCGTGAAGGCGCCTCCTCTCGAAGGGAAAGGTTTCTCTCAGTACGAGGCGGTGTTTCTACAGCTCGCCGACGAACACAGAACCGTAAACGCCTTCGAGTTACAGGAGCTCTTGGAAGCCTGTTTACCGAATGGTACGACGCGTTTTCTCCGTCGTAAAGCGTACGGAAGATCTCATCGAGCGCGCCGAAATAGCCGGCAGTGTCAATCTTTAAACGCTCCGTTTTCTCTTTAACTTGCAGACTACATCAAAAGCTGCGCCTGCATGGAAGTCTGCCGGCAAGTAGTGCTCACCATGGACGTATCCTTCGAAATCAAGATTTTGCTCTTCAACGCATCGTCGATCTCGCGTCACTATTTCTGCCCATATTTTCTTCGCGCGTGTGTGCGTGTAGACTTCGCTTCCACCCACCTTCGTCTATTTCGATCTGCCCGAGTATTTATTTAAAGTTTCCTTTCGCCGTAGAGTGGGTTTCCGATCTCTTCATTGATATATGCCGCGACAGCGAGCGCGCACGGGCGATATTTTCCTTACATCTCCTCGGCGTCGATAAACAGAGTTCCGGGAGCGGCCGATTGAAGTTCAACGACTTCAAGGATCTTATGTGCAGTTTAAAGTACTGGCAAGCCGCTTTTAAGAACCACACGAAGGAGAAGACGGGCATACTCAAGGCGGAGAGACTGCGAGACGCCCTGTTGGAAGTTGGTACGTAGGAAGGGAACCGCGGACATTTCATTTTCTAGTCTGACCGGAGCTTCTATCTCAGGTTTCCAATTGAACACGGACGTACTGTCGATCCTGATTCTGCGATACATGAGGAAAGACGGGACCCTTCGATTCGGCGACTTCGTCTCGGCGATACTGCACCTGAGCGACGCGTTCGGTACGTTCGTCGCGTTAAACGACTCCCTGAATGATTATTAACTCAACTAATCGTAATAATTATTCAAATGATTAAACCGCTGGAAAGATTTTAACAATTCGTTCATTCAGGTATATTCGAGAGCAAGGACCCTTTGCAAAACGGAACCGTAAAGCTGAGCCTGTCAGAGGTGCGTAAACTTTCTCATCAAGAACACCGATATTTGTTTTCCCGATATTACGAATATTGGTATGTGTGTGCGCGTGCCGAAAGATTTGCTGAATCGCGAATTTTCCTTGCAGTGGCTGAGATCATCTCTGATGTGCTGAGGGAGTGTCAGTCAAACCGTCCATACGTCTACCTTGAAACGTCTGTAAATAACATTCTTTTTTTATCTCGACACTAGGCGTAAGCTTTAGCCATATTAACGATATTAGCGCGCGACTCCGCCCATCTCTTTCTTTCACTCTGTAAGATAATGTCATTGCTCTTTTTTTTTTTTACTACATTATCGCTCGGATCATCATTCCCTCCCGTGTAAAATTACGATTAAGGAGCTATGTATGATACGTTTCTTTGTGTAAGCATATCGCACTGGATAATAAAATTAAGTTTATTTTGCATAGTTCCTGCATACGTACCTTCTATCGGAATACGCTCGTAACGCGCACACATGTAAAACTCGTGCAGATTCAATAAAAGTGTCAATTGCATCCCCAACGTATAGTTAAATAGGAACGACACAAGGACCCGTATCCAGCGGTACGCACGCTGTACACTGTCCGGAGTTGTAAATTGTTGTATCGCCAAACACTGTTCCGTTGGCTATTTGAGTTATCGTTGTTTTCGGTGGGAGTAAATACATACCGTACACACACACACACAGTCGGCATATCAAAGGTTGCAGCGCTTTTCGACGAGTTCTCCGCAACGCGAATTCGATAGAAAAATATACTTTCTGAGAATCGCTGAGAAAGAAATTCACCCATCGGACACGGGATGCGTTGCGAAACTGATCGAGAAGAAACTGACCGTCACAGATGTAACGAGATGGAGCGGTGACGTCGCAGGAACGGAATGGAACGCAGCGGCGAGTTACAATAGAAACATTTATTCATAGAATTCGTTCGAGAGATACAACGGAACCTTTTGATATCCTATAATTTACCGCCTACTACCGACGTTGTCGTCGGAGCGAGGCGTAATCCGCGCGGACCGATTGATTCCTCTCGCTCCGTAGTGCGCTCCTGAGCGACCCTCCCTCGCATTCGGATCGTGGCTTTCATCCGGCGCGGATTACGTAATAAGTGCACACGAGACACAGATAGGTGGACGGCGATATGTGAGAATTACCAGGAGCAAATCGGCGCGATTTAATACCGTACCTTGCCCCGTACGTCTCGCCGTCGTTCCAGGCAACCTCAAATGCCCCGTCGAAGACTTTAGATGATGATGCTTTGATCAAGGAGACGATATCGGGCGCACAGATCGCACCCGGTATAATGCGTCGAAAAACACGTAACCGATCGCGTTATTAGCAGTCCTCGTCGACACCTGTGTCGCTGCGAGCAACGTTTGAGGGACCCCGAGCGTCGCGTCGAGTATCGCGAGAAAAGAGAGGGAGAGAAAGAGAGAGAAAGTCGGGTTTCTCGTGCAAAACTAGACTGGCTTTTGCTGTACAAAATACGTGTGGCTCCTCGTCATTTCGTGGCTTTGATATGTGCGAGTTTGGATGTTTAACGTTAGAAAATCCGACGACCGATCACCGTCCGCCGACGGCCTCGCTCGGTCCGTAGCCCTAATTTCTGTAACTTTTTTCACGACAACGTCGTTATCCAGCTACTCTGCCATTTGTTATTCCTGCACCACGGCAACTGTTACGACGCTGTCGTTGAAAGTCGCAGAACAGGCCTACCGGGGTAACTGCGATTTTCTCGATTTCGTTTGGCGCCTCTACACTTTTTCAGGGAACTCGGCCGGAGAAATCATAACGTCGGTGTAACGTCGATGCGCTTCGTCGCTAAATTACAGCCTCACTTGGACCGTACGTACGTATCAATCAATTATCCGTTCGCGGAAATTACATTCTACAAATTAGAGAGAGAGAGAGAGAGAAAGAGAGAGAGAAGAGGGAAAGAATCGCAGGATCTGATGAGTTTTCTTTTCAGCGAGTATTTTCGCCCACGCTGCTCGTAGAAACACGAGCGTCGATAGTGCATCGCTTCTACATTCAATTTGAGACACTCACTTTTTTTTTTGTGGAGAACGTGTTTTCGTTGGTGCAATGAAGGGAAGGAAGACGTTCATAGGTATACAGCCGGGGTTCACAGTTTCACACACATATTACGATCGTTTCCAAGAGAGGAAGACATCGAAGTTTTTAGAAACAGTCTCTCGTGCATCGGCGCAATGACGCTTTATGTTTATCGTCGCGCGGATATTGGATGGCGTTTCTTCGCTATCGTTTAGATATTTACATTGATCGTCGTCGAAAGATTACAGCGAGAGATAACGGAGACATGGCGCGGTGCGCTCGAGAGGTGGACAACCAGCTCTCGCCGTTAATGATCCGCTGGGATCTTTCTACCGAAGTAGAAAAAAGTCTGTTTGCGTTTTTTACGGGTGATTTGAGGCGACAAGCGTATTATTTCCGCGCCGATCCGTGAACGTAAGCTTACTTGTGAACCTGAACATTTCCACCCCGTCGCTGAGCCCGACGAGCCCGACGAGCGAACAAGCGTGCGCCCAGATAGAACGGAGGATGACGATCGGCGTGAAAATGACGTCAAAATGATGACAAAATGATCGAAGGGGTGAGCACTCTTACGGTCATTTTCCCGTCATTTTCACATCATCGCGATTTTTAATTCTACTTCGGGTGGTTTACAGTAAGCTCGACGTGTCGTGCTGAGAGGAGATGATTTCTGCGCGATTCCTGAATGATCTTACACGTCGTACACTCAGAGTCATCTATGCTGTGTCAATCCCCAGGCGGAAAACTATACGATTTTCAGCCTTGCATACATGCACACACAAGGTCAAAATAAGATGATAATTAGAGTCGTTATAACCCTGTCAGTGTAATTAGAGTTATTTATGCGACTTTCAACCTCATGGGCTTTACGTATAAAGCTGAACATCGTGTAATTTTCCGTCTAGGGAATAGTACAGTGTACATGAGGCCGACTGTATAGTAGGCCCCATTAACACAGTTCGATTCCCTAGGCACAGTAACATTCGGAAATTTCCAATCGGGTGCATCATTTCCGGATATTTGGGCGTCATGACCGCTGCATTCGGAGCATCGTGGTAAATTCAGCGAATAATCAACAGTCATGATGCACGGATATGCGGACATAACGTGCTCGCACATTGGAAATCTTCGGTATGACAGTGTTCAGGAAGTGGGGGCTGCGTTAATGAAGTCTTTCGTACGACTATTTTCCTCAGGTCTGATATGCAATACGTCGTATATCGCTGTCGGATGCCGGAACACCGTCGATGGTCCAACGAGGAGGGCTCGTTTTCGAAAAGTGAATTGTCTCATTGGCTGCGTCCCGACATCCAACAATGGGATACAATATATTGTTGTACAACAGGCCTTACAGACGACTATCAGCTGGCACGGAAGATACTGAAGTAATTCGTATTGGAATCTCTGCCGATAGTCCTGTAATTATTCCATCGACCACGCGGTCCCGGCTGCCTCTCTGAATGTAACATCGAACGCAAACGCTCTCGTGGGAGAGCCGAAACGCAAATCGATACGAATTTCGCTCGTCGCCTTCGTGAAAGGGGTTATCGAGGTAGGTTTATTTTGAGCCTTCGCAAACGTCGACGTTTAATTGAGCTTTCGCACGAGGTCCAGAGAACTTTCGCGAGCGGTACAGGCCGCGGTAATTGAGATAATTGAATTTTCGCCTTGAGTCGAGTGCGGCGGCGGCGGCGGCGCTCGGTGTATCCGGCTTGTCTCCCGGTCGTTGCGCCCGCTGAACGTAATGCCGTGCGGGTGTAAGATTAATTTGCATGTCGCCGGCCGCATTGCGTACTGTCCGATCGATCAGACTTCCATGACCCTTTGAACGGAATTAATATCCAGGGCGCAGTTGCCGATCGCGTCCGGCGAATCCGGAAGGTACTCCTCGGACGGCGTGATCCCCGCTGTCCTCATCTCGTCCCGCACCCGCTCTACCTGGTGCAACAATATTAACGTTAATCGTCACACCGATGTCGTTGTGTTCCGATCGATACGACGTAAACAGAAGGAAAATCGGTACTTCGCCGGCAAAGTTTATAATTAACACGCGCGCGTCGCATTCCCCGTGAATGTTTATTCGACCGCGGCTCGAAATTATACGAGCGTTACATTCCCGTCCGGAGTCTGGAAGAAAATTGTGTAGAGTTTCTCCAGCGCCCATTTGAAATTTCCACCCGGGACTACTTCTTCTCGGTTTCGTTACTTCACTCTTATTCGCAAGCTGCGAGCTCGCCGTGGGCCGCTCGGGAGGAATAATAGCGGCGACGATCGTCGCAGTCGCGCTCGCGCGACTACGGAAATTTGTTATCGTCAGTTTCGCCTTTCACGCTCGTCAAGTATTTAAGAGGGGCGCGGATTTATGAGCGCGAGTGGGGAAACGTTATGCGGCGGCGGGTGCGCGAAGTAGCATGCATCGCTACGGCGGAGTTATGACGGTATTAAGGCACGTCGGCCCGTGTACGTACGACTGCGCCCTGAGACCTTAATGGAGCCTAACCTGTGTGAGGACCCGCAGTAGATTCAAGCCGGCGACTTTCTTCAGGTCGTGCACGTTCCACTTGCCACTGCGGAGAAGTTCGGCGAATAGTTCGGGATACTTGGAGACGTCTTCGAGACCGCGGGGAGTTCTGCGAACGAGAGAGAGAGAGAGAGAGAGAAAGAGAGTTTCGACGAATAACTGATATTAGACGTCTCGTCCGGCGGCCTTTCCGCCGAGGAACGGGAAAATAACGCAAATAGCTTCGCCGAGACTTCGTTTCTGAGCGATCGACTCGGTCACTAAGGAAGCCCTCGAGTCTCGCCCGGGAAGCGCACGCGAATTATTGGGTTGCCGCGAAAGTTCGTCCCGATTTTTGCGAGATCGCAGGATACATGTAACGATCGTTTATTTTGAAATACAGTTAATCGAGAGAGGAAGAGAACAGCCGTGTGATTTTATCCTTCCATCTCAGAGGGATTTCAGAAATAATTAAACTTACCGTGCTACCAACGAACATCCAGCGAACGGCTTCTACGGCGGTCTTATCTTTCTCTCTCTTACCGGTTACATTCACCTTCCGAGTCTCCGATATCCCACCTTGTTTACAATCAATCGATCAAGTGCGCGTCGTTTTATTCGATGACCGTCCACCATTTCTCCGGTAGCCGTGTAACTTTTCGACGGCAATATAACCCCGCGCTCGTGAAAATTCTCGGATTTCTGCGCGGAGAACTAATTAAAGATAAACGGGACGAGCTTCCGCACGAATCGATACTTGGAAATCAAAGCATAACTGAGAGACATATATATCTTGCTGGTGGTTGAGTAGGAATTGTTAATTAATTTCATCCGAATGCGTCTTATCGTCGACATACTTGTTGATGCCGTCGAAGTCCCCGCCGACTCCGATATGGTCCACGCCAATTAGATTCCTAATGTAGTATATGTGCTCGGCCACGTCCGAGACGGTGGCTTGAGGGCCGCACTTCACGAAGTAATTGTAAAACGTGACCATCACCAGCCCGCCGTTGTCAGCCTGGAAAACATAACGAGAAGATAACAATTACAGGGCGCATAATTTCGCGTCTCGCGACCTGCGAATGCGATCACTCTTTGCGCCGGGAATTTCGGCGAAACGTTCGTAACACGCAATTTTCCGCCGGTGCACCCTGGGAAAACTGTGTATCCTGAGCGCGCCTTTGCCTCGAAAACGAAACGTTCGTACATCCCCCCGGGGGTGCGACAGAGGGATCGATAGAATCGACGACGAGCGCCAGAAGGGAGAACCTCGTTATCGCGGCACCGCGTTCACTGTCGACTCGGTGCCGTTAATTTTCGACCTTGATAATTCGCCTCTTAACGAGCTGCAGCGAGCCGGTGTACCTTAATGGAGCACAAAACTCGACAATGGAAAGGAATCGCCGCCGGTAAATGTTTCGAGCTATCGGACCTCCAGCTGCCGCACCGGGATAATTATCTATCCGCAGAAAGGAAAGATCCGGTCGCGAGAAGAAGAGAGACAGGCAGAGAGGGTGGGGGGGGGGGG